GTCATCCCGCTTACCGCACACTTTGTGGAGTGGCCTCCCTTTGAGGACACAAGGCAGGCTGCCCTATGAAGGGGACTGTGACGGAGGCAGCAGTGTGGGTATGAGGTCTGTCTGACCGAGTGCCGGCTGCCAGAGAGGCCCAAGACACGAACCATGTGCTGCTGTGTCCTTGCCCCCGACATGGCTGGGCACCCCGCCTTGCGCTGTCCCTGGGGGCAGCATGCCAGTGTGGGGCAGCCTCTCTGGAAAGCAGCAGACAGAGGTCCTCACCCCCCTGGGGCCCCCTCCCTGGGCCTGTGTCTCCTCCTCCATCCATAGCTTGAGGTGCCCCGGGATTCTGTGCCAGGGCTGGGCACAGCGGGAAGGATGTCAGACCAGGCCAGTGAGAAATGGTCTGGAACAGAGACCCTGGCACCGGGCACGGACAGGGACAGGAAGGCCAGCTGAGCTGGCCCCAGCCCTGTGGGTGCTTGTGTCAGCGGCTGGCATCCCATTACTGGCACTTCCACCCGTCAGTGAGGGCAGGAGTCAGCCATAGGCAGGCCCCAGACACCTGACACAGCACGCGTGCCGGGCAGCAGCTCACGGCCCCAGCCAGGGGCCACATCTGGTCCCCAGATAACATGGATGCTGTAGCTGGGGCCTTGGTGCATGAGAGAAGGGTGGGCAGCATTCAGGCCGCCCCTGTGTCACCAGGGAGGCCCCAGCTGGGATGGGAGCCCCGGCCTGCTGGCTGCCCACCACGGCTCATCAGCTTAGCACCAGGCTTGGGGTGCTTGGCTCAAAGGGCATGCTGTTCACTCCCTGCCTGGTCTTGGGGGCTGGCAAGGCCCTGGGTCCAGCCACGGTCACCCCTGCCGATGCCCATACAAGGGCAGGATGTGGCGGGCACTGCTGATCCCAGGGGGTACAGCTATAAAGGCAGCCGGGGCAGCAGCTGGGGCGGCCCCTCCAGCCCTCACGCTGTGAGAACCGGCCCACGCGCGTCAGACAAGTGGCCACGCGAGACCCACCCTGCTCCATACAGACACACAGGCCCCCAGTCCCTCCCGGCTGGGACCGGACCTTGGCCGTGTGGACAAGTGACCCCAGGGCTGCATGCAGGCTTGGGTGGGTGTTGTGGGCTAAGGAGTTACTAGCGCTTAAGCCAAGCACTGCAGGGAGTGGGCTTGGAGCTAGAAGCACCTGGTCTGATTGGACTCAGCTGTATTCAATATGTGCTAATAAGGGTGTGGGGGGGAGAATAAACAAGTAGAGGTGAAAGGGCAAAGGAGAGACTTCAGAGAGACTTCCGCCATCACTGGTCTCCTGTCGGTGCCTCATCCCCCAGGCCCTCGCCGTGTCCGCGTTACTGGCTCTGCTGGCCGGAGCAGGTAGGGATGGCGAACAGGAAAAGCCTAAGGTGGGAAGCGTCCTCCCTACCTCTCACCCCAACACCCTGGGACCTTTCTTCATGATGGAGCCCTCCCTCAGCTGCGCCCCTACCTTGCTGAGACCCTGCGATGGGAGTGGTGGTGGGAGGCCAGCAGATACTGCTGGGTCCTCCTTCAGTCCCGGCGTGACGGCCTGGGTACTGTGAGGCTGGGGTGTCCCTGGCCAGGGTGGCCTTGGGAAGTGACCGTGGCAGGCAGACAACGCGCTAGCTACTGTGGGGGGACAGGCAGTGCGGGTGAGGGTGCAGGCCTGAAATAGCTCGAGGGCGGGGGAGGGGAGCTCCCCTTTTGTCCAGGGGTTCAGTTATTTATGGATAGGGGTGACTGTCCCACCCCTCACCCCTCCCGCAGGGGTGTTCAGGTCGGCCTCCTGGTGCGGGGAGGGGGTGCCACCCGGAAGCCGCCTTCCAGCCCAGGTCCCATCTGCTCCCCAACTCTCCTTCATGTCACCTCCCACGGATGGTAGCTGGCAACCCTGGCCCACGGCCTGGCTCTGGGCATCCCTCACTGAGCTGAGGGCCCCAGGCGCGCTCGGTGCCACAGACAGAGCCTGTGGCTCTGTGCTCAAATGCCACGGCTTGGGGCTGGCATGACTTGGCGCAGGGAGGTGTGAGCCACGGGATGCTGGCGCGTGGTGGGGTTGGTGACAGCGAGTGGCGGGGAAGGGCGTGGGACTCTGCTGCCTGCTTCAGCATCCTGGGTGCTGCAGACAGAACCCCCTGGTGCTGACAGATGGGGTTCAGTGTCCCCTGGGGGGGAGGGTGGCGACAGAGCCACAAGTTGAGAGCCACTGACAGCAAAGGCCGGAATCTTGGACCTATCAGAGCGAGCAAGCATGTCCAGTGTCAGGAGTTCTGTGGCGGAGGGGGGACTGGGAGCCGCCAGTTCCGTGGACTCGGCTGCCTCAGCAGGACTTGGACTTCTGAGTCCAGCTCCCCCGGGGTGGCCCAGGCCCGGGGTCTCTGCTGCCCTGGTGCCTTGGCAAGCGCAGGCCTTGTGCCCAGGCTGTTCTGGTCCAGCCCCGTGGGAGTGCTCATTGTCAGACTGACCTGTGTTGGGTGCTCGGGCATGGCCGGTCCTCTTAGCCGTGCAGAAGTGACCATGCGGAAGGTGGGGTGACAGCTTCCCGTGGACACAGGGCCTTCAGTGCAAAAACTGACCTGCCTGGGAGGCTTAATGGGCCAGGCCGTGGCTGCTTGCAACAGCCCTTTTTCCAAGAAAATTGAGCTTTCAAAAGAAATCTTTTTAAAGATTTCTTTATTTTTTGGGCCCGGCGCCATGGCCTAGTGGCTAGAGTCCCCACCTTGAACGTACTGGAATCCCAGATGGGTGCTGGTTCTAATCCCGGCTGCTCCACTTCCCATCCAGCTCCCTGCCTGTGGCCTGGGAAAGCAGTGGAGGACGGCCCAAAGCCTTGGGACCCTGCACTCGCGTGGGAGACCCGGAGGAATGTTTCTGATCCCTGGCAGCCTCCACTGCACTTCCTGCCTCTGGGGACCCAGGGGGTGTCCTGGGGGTGTCTTTCTCAGGGGTCCACGCTATAGCAGATGTCAGCATGCCCGCCTCACGGCTGTGTTTCCTAGCATCAAAGGATCATTCCCCTGTTTGTGGACCGTTGGGCTGTTGTGGATGCTGGGCACATGATGACACGTGCCTGATCAACTGGCCAAGCTCCGTGGGCATCAGACCAACTCCACAATACAGGCCAGCCCCGAGCCACGTGTCTGCTCCTGGCCGGAATAATAAAACTTTAATTATAGTCTGACCTTTGGGTTCCACGTGATGGTCAGACAATTTCATTCTCTGGTCATTTAAAAAAAAAATAGGAAACCCTTTGAAAATGAAGATGCATTTTGTTTATTTTTTAAGATTTATTTATTTTATTGGAAGGGCACAGAGAAGGAGAGACAGAGAGGAAGATCTTCTGTCCAATGATTCACTCCCCAAGTGGCTGCAACGGCAGGAGCTGAGCCAATCCAAACCCAGGAGCCAGGAGCTTCTTTCTGGGTCTCCCACGCGGGTGCAGGGTCCCAAGGCTTTGGGCCGTCCTCCACTGCTTTCCCAGGCCACAAGCAGGGAGTTGGATGGAAAGTGGAGCAGCTGGGACTCGAACCGGTGCCCATATGGAATCCATATGGAATCCCAGCACGTGCAAGGCAAGGATTTAACATCTGGGCCATTGTGCTGGCTCTACTTCTTCTTCTTTTTTTTTTTTTTTTTAATTTGACTGTAGAGTGACAAAGAGACAGATCTTCCATCCCCAAATGCCTGTAGCAGCCGTAGTTGGACCACGCTGTAGCCAGGAGCTCTCAGCAAGCTTCCACGCAGACAGGCGGCCGGGCCTTCACCTGCTGCCTTCCTAGGCATGCTAGCGGGAGCTGGGTCAGAAACAGTGGCTCGACGTGGCAGCTGAGCCCTCCGTGCCTCACGCTGGCCCCAGGGTGTTCTCTGCTGATGCGCCCGGGGGCCTCACCCCCATGGGAGAGCAAGTAGTGTAGGGACTGTGGCTCCAACGCCCCAGCCTGGTCTGCAGTTTCACAGCTGGCCATGTGGGTATCGTCCTAACCTTACCACTGGGGTGTCCACCCCACTTCCCAGCAGGCCTTGGGACAGAAGAAGTGCGCGTGTGGCGACCAGGGTTCGGAACCCAGTCCCACCCAGCCACGTAGCTCCAGTCTCCCTACGAAGCGGTTTAGTGAGGCTGCCGGGGGGCAGGGGTGCAGGGAGACGAGAGGCCAGGCTTGGCTCCCACCCGAAACCTGTGTGTTCGATGGGCATTTGGTGGCGTCAGCATCTGTCACAAGGGGACAATGAGAGAACTGAAAACGGGCACCCAAATACACAACTGACAGCAGGCCAGGCAGGGTCGGCGTTGGGCTGCAGAGCATCCCGTATCCGCGCCGTTTCCCGTCCGGCTCCCTGCTCCCACACTCGGCCAAAGTGCTCAGTGCCCGGGAGGGAGACCCAGAGGGCGCTCCCGGCTGACCCAGCCCTGGCTGCTGTGGGCATCTGGGGAGGACTGACCCTGCCCGCAAGTGGCAGCTCTCTCTTCTGCCCCCATCTGCCTCTCAATTAAGTCACAGCAAGTGCCCGGTGATGACTCCCAGCGGCCACAAGGTGGCAGCAGCCCCACGCCGGGGCAAGTGGACACTTCAGGTCCCTGTGCCCAGCGGGGCAGTGTGACATGGCCATGATCAAGAGTCGGGGTGTTCCATAGCCGCTCTGCGGAGGAGCCCAGGACCGGCCTGGCTACTCAGCTCAGGGGCCCCGGGACCCCGCCCCCCATCATCCCCGCAGGGTCATGGCCGCTGAGCGGACAGGTGGGTCCCTCCCAGGGCCTCAGAGGGAGCACGCCGTACACTGAAGGGTATCAAAAACAGCACCGGGTTTAATTCTCGAGCCGCAGCCATAGCACTGATCCCCTCACCCCACGGTGTGCAATGGGGCGGCCTCCACTCTCCAGGGTCCGCACGTCCCCAGGGGCCAGCGGTCACTCAGTGTCCTGTCCGGGGCGGTCCCTGCAACCGGGCAGGGTGGGCAGGGTGGGCAGGGCTGGGGCCGGTCCGCCTAGGTGCGGTTCAGCAGTGAGTTCCGGATGTCCTCCAGGACCTGGCAGCAGAGTGCCTCACGAGACTGCATGCCATCGAGATACACTGCAAGCAGGGGGGACATGGTCAGGGCCACGAGGCTGCCAGCAGGAGGCCGCGCTGTGCCCTGGGGGGTGGGCATCAGGGCCATGGGGTTGCCAGCAGGAGGCCACACTTGTGCCCTGAGGGGTGGGCATCAGGGCCACGGGGCTGCCAGCAGGAGGCCGCGCTGCGCCCTGGGCATCAGGGTGCAGCCCCGGGTTCCCCAGTGACCACACGAGGGGAGGGGTCAGGGCTCCCTCCTCCCCACCCGGGGACAAGGCCTCGTCTCGCTCGGGGACTCACCCACTTCCACACCGTCAGCCTCCATCTCGTGCTTATATTTCTGGTACATGGGCCACACGTGACCGTCGAAGAGGCCAGGGGGGTCGGGCACCGCGTAGTTGCGGGTGCTGTGGACAAAGACGGGCAGACCCCAGAGGGAACCACAGCGAGGTCAAGGTCAGGCCTGGGGCTGGCCAACGGATGGCCGATCTCCCGACCCCCGACCTCTGGACCCCGAGCCACCTGGGGTGTGCGGGATCTCCTTGCTCCCCAGGCCTGGGGTCAGAGCTCCTGGTGCTGAGCCCAGGTCTGCTCCAGCCCAGGGTTCATGGCCAATCCCGTCCTTGGGGTGGCCACCTACCTTCTCCTCCGCTTACACTCCTCATAGGGTATTGTCAGGAAGTACCGGCGGCTGAACAAGTCCACCAGGGGCCTGCGGGGTGTGGACATGGTCAGTGCCTGAAGGAGGGTGTGGAGGGGAGCTGGAGTGGCCCTCTCAAAAATGGATGTATCAGCTCCCCCCCCAAGTGTGATGTGCTCAGAGAGGGTGTTGTCCTGCCCTCAGGTCACACAGCAAAGCTGTGTCCAGGTTCTGGAAGAGGAGTCGGGTGCAGCCGGGGCTCACTTGTAGCTGTACAACAGGAACCCTTCGAGGAGCAGGATGTGGGTGTCTGTGACGTCGGGGTGGACGCTGACCCCGTGGGCCCGTGCAAACTTCTGGGGGCAGCGTAGCCAGGCCTGCACAGTGGACAGCATGGCTTCCATGTCCAGTGATTCCAGCACTGGTGGGCGAGGAAAGGGAGAAGGCGTTACTGGGTGGCCCCGGGGACGGCCCTGGGGGACCATGGGGGTCGGGCAGCCTCTTCCTTACCGTCCCACTGTTTGAAGCCATCTTTCCCAACTGCTATTTGGTCTTGGGGCTGAAATACACGGAGCCCGAGCCGTCGGCTCAGTGCTCGCTCCCCCTGCCCCGCCGGACCCCCACCCCGAAGGAGGGAGGGAGAGTGGAAGGACCCGCCGGCCCTGGACCCGCCCCTGTCATCCGTGCATACCCAGCACGCCCTGCCCTGCACGGAGGTATAGGTGGGGGTGGCAGGTGGGGACCTGGTGCCCGCCATCCCTCAGGAGGGGGCAGATGGGCTGGCAGGGGTGCAAGCTGGTGGTGCCTGGCAGCCTGCCCTCCCCGGGGAGGTGGGGGCAGGGATGGCCACCTTGAAGAAGTCATCTTGGTGGATGACACAGCAGTTGGGCATAGCCCTGGAGAGGCCTTGGGTCAGCGTGGTCTTGCCGCCGTTGGTCACGCTGGTGGGGAGAGAGAGTGCGCGTGTGAGGCCTTGTGGGGACCCCACAAGGAGGGGCAGTTAGCCCGAGGCCCCACTCCAGGGCCTCCCCGCTCACGAGGAGGAGGGCTGGGGCACCGGAGACTTAAATAGAAAGTGCTGGAGCATCAGAGGCGGGGCCAGCTGGAGGACATGCGTCTTGTGGGGGTCAGGCAGGGCACTGAGCATCCAAACAGAGAAAACTTATTCAAAACGAAACAAAAACAACCCCAAAACCTAAAATCTGAAAAAAAGTATTTTATCTTTTGCTTCAAAATAAACCGGGATTTTCATTTCATTTTCCACCGGCTTCTTCAAGTGTCCCAGCTTAACCTGCTTTGTGACCCAGACAAAAAAAAAAAAAACAAAAAAAAAAGACCCCAAACAAAACAAAACAACAACAAAAAAAACAGCCCACCGGTCGGTCGGGTGGCCCAAGACTGCTGGCATTTCAGCTCCAAGCGATTCTCCAGCCCTGAGGAAGTCCAAGAAAGCCAAGACCTCTGACCGCCTACCTCACTGCCACCCCGGGTGTCGCTGTCCAAGTGGCCGTGGGGACAGGCCGGGCCGGGAACAGGTGGAGGAAGAGTCGGAGGAGAAGGCTTGCCACATTCCACAGGCGTAGCCAAGTGGGGGACGCGTTCCTGGGCACTGCCGCCTCGCAGCCCCCCGCGCCCCTCTGGCCTCCAGCAGTGACCCTCCCGCGCCCAGCCCTGCCCGCTCACCCTCCGATGCCCACGATGAGCTGCATGTCCTCGTGGAGGGGCGGCGGCGGGGACACGGGTGACACGAGCACGCAGCCCCGGCTGGGTGCCACCCCTGCAGTGCGCTCCTGGCGCGTCCCGGCTTCATTGAGAAAACCTGGCGCCTTTATAGGTTCTGCGCGCGCGGGGAGGCACGGGGGGCGCGTGGGGGCGCGTGGTCGGTGCACCTGTCACCGTGGGATGGAAATAGCTCGCGGATGCCTTTTGCCTAAATTAGTCACGCGCCAGCTGGGAGGCGAGGGGCCTCTGCCCTCCTCCTCACCGCTGCCTCCCCAGAATACCCTAAAAATAGCTCTGCCCCGGTGTGCTCCCTGGCCTGATCCTGACATGGTGGAAGCTGCCAGGGGAAGGGAATTTGGCCTCTGGCTCCCACCGCCAGCCAGGCCCGGCGGAGACGCGTCCAGTCTCCCCAGGGGCTTACCATATAGGAAAGTTGACCCCACGACACCTCCTGTCCACCCCGCTCCAGAACAATCTCCAGGGGCCTGTCGGGGACCAGGGGTTAGGACAGTGAAGTGCCGAGGACAGATTTGGCCAAGGGGTCTTCCAGGGATCTAGCTGAAGGCACTTGGGGTGAAAGGCAGAAGAGTGGAGAAGCGATTTGATTAGAAGCTGGAGGTGAGGGGGCCGGCAGTGGATCCCTAGGACCCAGCAGTTTGTTCAGGGGCCTTGCCCAAGCTCACTGAACTTCTGGGTGGCCCTTCGGAGTCCAACCGGGGTTTATGTCCCAGCTCTGGCTTCCTGCCCCAGGGTTGATATGAGGAGGGAGCCAGGGCTGGACCCGGCACCCTGTCCCCAGTGGCGGCTGGGCCCTGTCCCAGCCCTCGGTGCCTGTCCTTCTATAGTTTATATAAACTTCTGCCTTGTGGAACTTTGCAATGAGTGGATGGCTAAAGCTGTGCCCACCTCAAGCCCAGCGTCAGATACCCTGTCCCCCAAGGAGAGGAGGAGGCAGACTCCATTCTCACGCGGGGTTTATTGAATTCACACAAACCCCCTCCCCCGAGCTCAGGGTCCTGACGTCTTTAGGGTCACCCCACCCCAGGATCGAGGAATCACTCCTGTTTTCAGAAACCGCAGGGTCCAAAACTGCCCCCAGCCCCAGATGGCTCACAAGCCCAGCCCTTGGGCAGAGCTGTGGGGGTCCCCCCCTACTTGGGGCCAGCCACGGGGCCTGTCTTCCCAGTGGCTGCTGGTGACCTGGAGGGGGTTACTGTGGAATGGAGAGGGTCTCTATTACAGCTCCTCCTGGGGCCTGAGGCTGGCATCCACAGGCCCCCGGAGTGTTCAACAGAGCGGGAACCTTCCGGTCACGGTGGGGTCTGAATAGGCACTGCACGGGAGTGGGTTCCAGGCAGCCCCTGCCCCGGGAGTCGCTGTCATAGCTGCAGGTGGGACAGCGGGCTCTGGAGGAGCTCCTTGTGGGATGTCAGCTGGGGCTAGCCACCACAGCCTGGAACCTAGAGCAGCTGGGACGGGGCCCAGAGCAGCAACAAGCTGGTCCCAGGGGATGTCAGCTCTGAGGACACATCCAGCTCTGGACATGACCCCTGCCACTCAGGAAACACAAATTGAAGACACTCCCCCCTCAACCGCTGACACCCATCAGATTCCCTGGAGTCCCAACCTCGGCCCCCAGGGCTGTGCGGGGAGCCGAGTCTTCCCCTGCCCGGTCCAGGGGCGCCGTGGTGGGCATGGCGGGCTGCAGCCGGCTTGGCCGGGGCTGTTGCCTCCAAGGGCTGGTGGAACCATGTTCCACATGGCACTGCCTCTGTTGGTACTGGGCACCCAGATGCCCCCTTCAAACGATACCCTCTCCTGCCCATGGTGAGAGGGACCCTGGGGCCCACTGTGGGTCGACCCTCTCGGGGACCTGTCAGAAGCTAGCAGCAGTGATGGGTAGCCTGCCATTCAACCGACCAGTCAGGACCACAGCGTGCCAGCACCAGCTCCCAGCCCAGCAAGCCCACTTCACTCGGTCATCTGGCCGCATGGCCTCGGACACCACGGGAGACATTTGTCTTCCTCCGACGGGCGGTGACCAGAGACCCACAACCAGGGAAGGCCGACCCAGCTCCTGGGAATCGGGGAGGCTGGGAGAATGTTCTAGAACAAGGAGAGGGCAGCCGCTCAGCTCCACCCGTGCTCTGTGGGTTCAGGGGCTCCTGGAGACAGATGGGACAGGTGCAATGAGAAACTGGGGCTGTGGGTAAGGGGCTGGAGGTTGAGAGGGACCCTGGGGCCCGGCCCTATGGGACCCCTGCCCGGCTGGAGGGAGTGGGTTGTGTTCTGGAAGGAAAAGGCACAGGAACAGATTCAGACGCAGCTGCGGTGCTGGTGGGTGTCCGGGGTTCCCACGTGGGGCAGGCGACAGGCGAGGGAAGGATCCAGAACCCGTGCCTCGCGCTGGCTGGGGGCGTGGGAACCCCGCCTCGTGGTGCTGGCTCTCCCGGGGGTGCAGGCTGAGAACCGGTTGTCTGCTCCGGAATGCGTGAACCCTATGTCCTTACAAAAATAGTTGAGACTTTGCAGCTGCAGAGGCTGGTGGGAAGGCGGGGACCGGCATCCTGGGAGGTGAGGTGGGCTCAGAGCCGAGGGGGACAGGGGCCAGGGCTTCTTGGTGTCTGGAACCTTCTTCCGTGTCCTTCTTTGAGATTCTACCACCTCAGGACATGCTGGGGAGGAGAAACACGGGCCAGGCTGCCGTCACGGGAGAGGCAGAGAGGTCCCCTTTCGGGGTACACTCTTCTGCAATGCTAGCCGGTGCCCAGGAGGCCTCGGCAGTCAAGGTGCTCACCTGCCGCTTGCTGCGGCTGCCTTGTACCCCGCAGAATAGGCCCCAAGGAGTCAGGTCCTTGAGCACGCTGGGGAGAGGCCCTAATCACCCTTCTACCTGCCCGCCTTTTCATCCACCCACCCACCCACCCACCCACCCATCCATCCATCCATCCACCCACCCACCCATCCATCCATCCATCCGTCCGTCCGTCCGTCCGTCCATCCACCCATCCACCCATCCATCCAACCATCCATCCATCCATCCATCCATCCATCCATCCATCCGTCCATCCACCCGTCCGTCCGTCCGTCCATCCATCCATCCACCCACCCACCCATCCATCCATCCATCCACCCAGCCGTCCATCCACCCACCCACCCATCCATCCATCCACCATCTATCCACCCACCCACCCATCCATCCATCCACCCTCCGTCCATCCGTCCGTCCATCCATCCATCCATCCACCCACCCACCCATCCATCCATCCACCCAGCCGTCCATCCGTCCACCCATCCATCCACCCATCCATCCATCCACCCATCCACCCACCCACCCATCCATCCATCCACCCATCCGTCCATCCATCCATCCACTCAATCACCCATCCATCCATCCACCCACCCATCCACCCACCCATCCACCCACCCACCCTTTTTCCATCCATCTATCCATCCATCCACCCATCCATCCACCCACCTACCCATCCAGCTGCTGGTAGTACCATCTAGCCCCCTGGCATGTCCCATCTAAGACTGTGCGAGGGAGTCTGCATCATCAGGTGGGGGACTTGGACCATGGGGCTCCAGCTGAGCCCTGGGTGGTGGGCACAGGAAGGGTCCTGGACCCTCAGAGCAGGTGGAGAGCTTGGGATAGGGCAGCACCCTGGGCTGTGGCGGGGTGGGGTGTGCCTGTGTCTGAGTGGCCATGGGGCTGGCAGGGGAAGGGGAGACACGTTGCCCTGAGAACACTGGCTGCAAATCGGCTCGTCCTGTGGTGGGTGGTGCATGGTGAGGAGGGCATGGGGTTGCCACGGAAACGGGTCTGCCACAACAGTGGGCTCTCCCTGACGAATGCTGGGTCCCCCAGGGACCCTTTGTGACACCTTTGCCCCTCCCTGCCAAGCGAGCCCCTCTTCTTTATCAGTGGATCTGTGGATTTTAGTTCTAGCCACAAAGGGACAGGGATGTCTTTCAGCTGTCACACTGCCCAGCTCGTGGGGCCTACCCTGCACCCCGGTCTACACGTGGCGCCCCCTGGAGCTGGAGGTTGGTGTGCCAGTGTGACCGCGGCTCCCAGCCTCCCTCCTGCCATGGTTCTTCTCACAGTGTGTGTGGGGGGAAGCCTCCAGCCCTGAGCAGCTCCTCGGGCACGCACCTTGTTTCCTCATCTTGCGTGGCCTCCGCAGACCTGTGGGGGAGACTCAGCGTCATTTCCTGGGTGGGAAGGCCCCACCTCTCCCATGGCTGCTGCCCCGGGCTGGGAGCTGTACATGGGGCCAAGCTGCCACTGTCGCCCACAGCAGGAGACCACGTGCACCTGCCTGATGGCAACTAGTGACCCAACAGGCTGTGATGCAGAGCATGGTTGAGGCTCTGCCTTGGCAGTGGGCATGCACGCACCTGTCTTCCTCCAGTACCGCCTCTGGCTTCTCTTCGGGCCTGGGCAGCACAAACTCGGGCTGGGGTCTGGCGCTGCGGACAGAGAGCTGGTGATACTGGGAAGCGGCTGGGCCCCAGACCCTCAGCTCCTGTGGGGAACCTCCCTGGCCCAGGAGCATCTGGCCGGCAGCTTGCCCTTCTGGCCAAGGTGCTGTGCCCGCAGGGTAGGAAACACAGCTCTCCCATCCCCTGTCTGGGATGAAGGTGGGCGGGGCTTCCACCACAGATGCCCAGCGTGCCCAGGGGACTTCCTGCACCCACCTCTCTCTCCTGGCCTTCAGCCGCTCCTCTTCGTACCTGTCAGGACAGAGGTGTCACACACCCTTGGCTCCCCCTGACCCCCGCCCCATAGGGCAGGTGTGAGAAGACGTCACAAAGGATAGCGCCCTCCCCAGGCTTGCAGAAGGACGGCAGCTAGCTCGCCACTTTCTCCAAAACAGAATCACCCTGCGGCTTGTTCTGGGTCTGAAAGGCGGGGACCCTGCAGGAACTCCGAGGGCCGGCAGGTGCAGCCGGCTCAAGTGTCCACCCACGGAGGAACGGCCAGTCCGTGTCAGTGGGGGATATCAAGTTTTGACACGTGTGGACACGCCTGCCCAGAGGTCGACGTCTAACTCAGTCGGAGAGGCCGACACGCAATGTCAGATCTGGAGGGACGGACGGGAAGAGGCGTGGGCGGGCCACAGGGCTTCCGCTGGGCGGGGAGAGAATGTTCTAGAGACTTCAAGTCATGTGGCGGTGGGGAGGTGTGCGGGAGGCTGGGCTCTGGGAAGGGCGTGGTGACTGTGGGAGTCTACGGGTCCTCCGGCCCATAGCCCCGCCAGTCTGGGGGTCCCCTGGCTTCTAGCCCTGCTGCCCTGCCAGGCCGGGGCTCACTCACTGGAGGACACAGTCAGGAATCTGAACATGCTCCATCGGGATCAGCTGCTCCAGGTCCTCCAGGCTGTGCACGTACTGGATCTTGCTGATGAACTTGACACTGCGGACAGGGACAGCACGTGTGGGAGCGCAGCCTGCGGGGGCCACGAGGCTCCCGCCCCCTTGCACCAAGGGCTGTGTGGGTGGAGAGTCCCATCGGACGCCTGTCTCCCCGCCCCGGCTGTGCAAGGCACCGAGTTCATTTTCACATGGGACACGGAGGAGAAGGAGAGACACAGATATTCTCTGCTCCCTCAACAACCAGGCAGCCGGGTCTCCCACGTAGGAGGCAGGCAGCCCAGTGCCTGTGCCGTGGCCACAGGAGCAGAGAGCTGGATGGGAGGCGGAGCAGCCAGGGCTCAGACCGGGTCCTGCGGTACAGATTAATCCAGATTTAATCCTCCACCTTTAATGCTGGCATTCCCAAGGGCCACCGGTTCATGTCTCGGCTGCTCCACTTCCCCTCCAGCTCCCTGCCTGTGGCCTGGGAAAGCAGTGGAGGACGGCCCAAGGCCTCGGAACCCTGCACCCACGTGGGAGACTTGAAAAAGGCTCCACCCACCCACCCATCCATCCATCCACCCTGGCACAGCTCTCCGTGGAGAGTGAACCAGCAAGACAAGGGTGTCGAGGCAGGGCGCCCGCGCGACCCCTCCTCACCTGATGAAGGGACGGGACACTGCCAGCACGGTCCGGATGAACCACGACGGGTGAACAATGATCAAAGACTTGAGGTTCTTCCGCAACCTGGGAGGGGACAGGTGGGCTCTGGGGGGGCAGGGAGGGGCAGGTGGACTCCAGGGGAGGCAGGGAGGGGACAGGTGGGCTATGGGGGCAGGAAGGGGCAGGTGGGCTATGGGGGGGCAGGGAGGGGACAGGTGGACTTGGGGGGCAGGGAAGGACAGATGGACTGGGGGACAGGGAGGGGACAGGTGGACTTGGGGGACGGGGAGGGGCAGGTGGGCTCCGAGAGGGGACAGGGAGGGGCAGGTGGGCTCTGGGGGCAGGGAGGGGCACGTGGACTTGGGGGGCAGGGAGGGGTAGGTGGGCTTTGGGGGGTCTGGGGAGGGGTCATGTGGCCTGGGTGGTCCCAGGGGAGGTTGCAATGAGGGTGGGGCTTGGGTTCTCCAGGGAAGGGGTGGGGCAGAGAGCCCGTGCTCATGCCCAGGTAAGGTAGGGACCAGGGATGGGGTGGGTGGGCTTTTGTCGCCCCAAGGACCTGTGCGGCCCCTCCAAGTGTCCCTCTATCTGGGATGACTTCCAAGGAGCCTCACTTGAAACCGGCCTGTCCCCAATCACAGAGACGGAAGCCATCCAAGCGTCCACCCCCAGATGGGTGAACAGCAGAGTATGGCACACCCTTAAGCAAGCAAGGAGCTCGGGGCACCTGCTCCAACGTGGAGTGGGCTTTGGGGACACCCGGGGAGACACGCGGACACGCACAGCTGCCATGCATGCGCATGGACGCCAGCCGACTGTGAGGGCAGATTCAGCGTGATCCAGCGTCAGGCCAGGAGCCCGGGCCTTCAGCCTCCTGACTTCAGGGCTGAGCATGACGACACCCCAAAGTCCACGACCTCTCCCATCTCCATGCACACTTACCTCCTGTCGATCATCTGGTAGCATTTCTTCAGCCAGCCGATGCCCGGCATCCGGCGCCGCGGCGTGGCCCCGTTCAGGTACACTATCATGTAGTCCTCGGCCACCAGGAGCTCCAGGCTGCTGATGACATACCTGCAGCGGGAGGGACAGGCATCTGGTGCTGGCCGCTATGGAGGCCTGGACTCTGCCGCAATCCTGCTCCCCCTGGAGTCTCCTCACGACAACGACGAGTGACAGCGATGCTGACAATGTTGATGATGGTGATGGTGATGGTGATGATGATGATGATGGTGATGGTGATGGTGGTGGTGATGGTGGTGGTGGTGATGGTGGTGATGGTGATGATAGTGATGATGGTGATGATGGTGAGGATGGTGATGATGATGGTGATGGTGATGATGATGGTGATGGTGATGGTGGTGATGGTGGTGATGGTGGGGATGGTGGGGATGGTGGTGATGATGGTGGTGGTGATGATGGTGGTGGTGGTGATGGTGGTGATGGTGGTGGTGATGGTGGTGATGATGGTGGTGATGGTGATGATGATGGTGGTGATGGTGGTGGTGATGGTGGTGATGGTGGGGATGGTGGTGATGATGGTGGTGGTGGTGATGGTGGTGATGGTGGTGGTGATGGTGGTGATGATGGTGGTGATGGTGATGATGATGGTGGTGATGGTGGTGGTGATGGTGATGGTGGTGATGATGATGGTGGTGAAGATGGTGAAGATGGTGATGATGGTGGTGATGGTGATGATGGTGGTGATGGTGATGATGGTGGTGATGGTGGCGATGGTGCTGTCAACTGCTGTTGATGCGACAGAAGCCCAGACAGCCTCTGCGTGAGCAGCCAGCAGGGCCAGCAGGGGCTCAGGCGGAGGGCTGGTGCTGGTGGGGACTGCTCAGAGCTCCCTGGTGGGCATCTCCCCCACTTACAGGAAGAGGTTCTCCATGATGTAGTGGTAGTCGGCACAGCTGCTGTCGGGGAGAAAGCAAGCCGCAAAGACAATGATGGCGTTGAGGCCTTCGCCGTAGTACCCTGGGGGCGGGAGACAGCCGTCCTGACCGTGCCTGGCTTGAGGACCCGGCAGGACCTTGGGAGCGGGAGGCGGTGCCCGGGGAGGGGGCTCACCTCCGTGGGTGACCACCTTCATGTACGGCCGGATCATATGCAGGTCGATGCGGTGCTCCTGTTCCCCGATGATGACCGTGCGCCACAGGCGCCCGTTGGCGGCGCTGCCGTCCTCGGCCGCTCCGTCCCCAAACAGATCTGCGCTGTCTCCAGGCATGTTCTTGGCGGTGGCCACTGGGGTGTCATCTGGAAGCAGGACACCCGTGGCCCAACCTCTCAGCCAACCTCCCACCTGGGGCTCCCTTCACCGCTCCTCTCCCTGGCGGCGACCTTCAATAGCCTGCCTCAAGTGCCCTCCTCCTCCAGGAAGCCCTCCAGGATTGCGTCCTTCCCCTCCGTGTGTCTGTACCTGCTGATGGATGGGGGGGGTGGGGACATAGAGGGGACACAGAGCTGCCCTCCCGTGGGTCCACTGCCCATCAGCATCTTGGACCTCAGGAGCCACTTTGCTGACTGGCAGGACAAGATTAGGGTTGCTGGGATTGGCGCGGTGGCTCAACTGGTCAATCCTCCACCTCCAAGCACAGGTGTCCCAAGTGGGCACCGGCTCATGTCCTGACTACCCCACTTCCCATCCAGCTCCCTGCTTGTGGCCTGGGAAAGCAGTGGAGGACGGCCCAAAGCCTTGGGACCCTGCACCCGCATGGGAGACCAAGAGACCAACACCTCTGTCTTGTAGGGAAGCCATGGCTGCAGCAGGTGCAAGCCAACCCTCTGTGAGGCCTGTTCTGCGCCCCAACCCCGAGTCAAGCCAATTGGGAAAGACGCCCTGGGAGAGATGCCACAGACACAGGGCCAGCTCGGGCAGTCTGCCCGGGAGGTCAGAGGGCACCATGGCATCCCAGGGTATCCCAGGGGCCCCTACCTTCCCACTCGAGCTCGTTGCCATTCCCCAGGAACTCGAGCGAGTCCGTCTCGTCGGGAGTCTCAATGTCATCCACATTAATGTCCAGGTCGTCGGGCGTGTCCAGGAAGTCGTCGGACAGCAGGGAGCCCTCGCTTTGGTCCAGGGAGATGTTGATCTCTGGGGCTACCAATGTCTTCCGCTTCCGGTGGGCGCCGTTGAAGTTCAGCGTGCTGGGAGGGGCTGCCGGAGAGACAGAGAGAGGAACCCGTGGCTTCACGTCCCCCTCCCCGCAGCCCACCCCGCTGGAGGCAGGCAGCCACACACGTCCCCTGTTGGTGGGACAGCCACACCCCACAGGGCAGTACTGGGGTCGGAGACCTGGCTCTGCTTCCGACCCAGCTCCTTGCTACCACGCGCCCTGCCAGGGTCCCATGGCAGCCCACGCACGTGGACCCCATCACGCATGTGGGACACCCGGATCTTCCACCAAGTCTGGTCCTGGCTACTGGTGGGGGCATTCGGGGCGTCAGCAGTAGGTGTGCGTTTTGGGGGGCGGTGTGTGTCTGTCTCTCTTTGTCACCACTCAAATGAACTCAAAAATGGTGGCACGGACAGACAGTGAAGACGAGACGGGAGATTTTCCAAGCACCTGTTTTTGCTGCTGGGCCTGAGTGGGGACAGACAGAAAACAAGAGCCACTTCTCAGACAACGAATGATCAAGACAGGGCTCGCTTCTTCCTGCGTCTCTCCTGGGCAGCAGGCCGGGGTCAGTGAGCTAGCACATGTGTGTGTGTGTGTGACAGAGAGAGAGGGAGAGAGAGAGACAGAGAAAGGGAGGGAGAGAGAGAGAGATGTCGCTTCTTCCCTCATAGGGTCAAGGTGAAGGCCAGCACAGGGCCATGGATGTGACGCTTACCCCCACCACGTGGCCATGAGGCCAGAGAGATTGGAGCCAGAGAGGATTATCCGAAACCTTAATCCAAAGGGAATCTGCACCCCACCCCCCCAAAAAGGAGAAAATGGACAGCATTTGCTCCATACCCCAAGGCTTCAGACATGTGGGGGTCCCGGGAGTGTGTGCGTCGGGGGGCGGGATGTGTGTATCTCGTGTCTGATGTCTCCTTTTTGGAAGCAGGACTCCGTGTGCTGTGGGCTCCACGAGAGAAGCTGTTCCACGCCCTGCCTACCTGAGTCCCTCACACCCTCAGTTCTGGGATCGGGGTCCCGGAGGGTGGGGCGTATCCAGCAGGACATGTCCATAGCAGGGCACGTCCACAGCATTCTGATGAGCCTGGATTCAAATCCCAGCTCCAGTGCCCCACCAGGCACACCCTGGGCCCCTCTGCCCACGTGGCCCTGGATGTGGCATCCCGTGCAGACACACCCTGACCCTCTGCCCACGCGGCCCTGGATGTGGCATCCCGTGCAGACACACCCTGACCCTCTGCCCATGCGGACCTGGCCCCAGCCTGACCCAGGCCCTGGGAATTGTTGCAGGCAGCTGGGGAGATGGGAGAGGTTCGGGTCTCCAATCGGGTTGCTCCAATCTGTTCAAACATCTTTTGACAGGGTGGGTTTCTGTGGTTACAACACCGCCTGGAGTCAAGGTCTCTCTCTCTTTTTTTTTTTTTTTTTTTTGCCACCTGCGTTTCCTCTCTCTGGGAGTCGACCGCTGGGGTGTGCCCTCTGCAGGTGTCACAGCCGGGGTGGGAGACATGGAAGACCCCACCCTGCTGCCCATGCGCCAGGCCCCTGCCCGCAGCGCCAGCTCCTGGCAGGGCAGTTAACCTCTCACTCCTAGGTCCTCAGCTGGCCACATGAGCCCCGCTCACGGCACAGAAGCATCCACAGATTTCAGTGCTATTCAAGTTCAGTTGACTTATTCACTTTTTTTTTTGGACAGGTAGAATGACAGAAACCTCCCGTGCACCCAGAACAGCCAGGGCTGGGCCCAGGAGGGCCAGGACGCGAACCCATGTACTCCAGTGTGGGCTGCGGGCCTGCCAGGCAGGGGTCACCCTAGGCCCCGGGCCCGCCCGGGGCTACCTGTGGGACCCTGTGCCCATCACGGAATGCTGCATTTCTGTATCCCAGGTGAGGAAAGAGGGGGCACAGATGAGCTGGATAACTGGCTCTAGGACACACAGCCCTCCCCCCAGCTCCCTGCAGGACACACAGCCCTCCCCCAGCTCCCTGCAGGACACACAGCCCTCCCCCCAGCTGTCCTGCAGGACACACAGCCCTCCCCCCCCCCCCCCCCCCCCGGCTCCCTGCAGGACACACAGCCCTCCCCCCAGCTCCCTGCAGGACACATAGCCCTCCCCCAGCTGCCCTGCAGGACACACAGCCCCCTTGGCACTGGCTGGCTTTGGGCCCAGCAGCCGTGGCCTCTGACATGTGTGTATCGTACGTAGCACCCCCCCACACACCGTCCCCAGCAGTCACGCCCGGCACCGGGAGCCCGTGCTCTCTCGCACGGAGACTTACAGGCCGTGTCTGCTGCCGAGCCGCCGAGCGCATCCGTTCCCGCGTCTTCCGGGGACGGCCTGCAGACCCCGCAGGTGCCAGCCACCAGGCAATGCCAAGGAGAGCAGAGAAGCAGGGGAGTAAGAGACCTGTTCAGACCCCTCGAGACCCTAAAAACCACTTCGTGGCTCCCTGCTCCTGTGTCCGCCTCCCAAAGTCACCCCGAAGTGACTCAAGGACAAAACGCTGGACCAGAGAACTTGTGGCCAGACCCCAGCGAGACCCTTGAAACCTCACAGCCAGACCCCAGCGAGGCCCTATCAGGGCTGCAGTGCCAGGAATGGGTCTGAGCCAGGAAGGGGGGTATTTTCCTAAGCTGTATTTGATTTGTGTTGGAAAGGCAGAGGTACAGCGAGAGGAGAGACAGAGAACTTCCACCTGTTTGCGCGCTCCCCCTAAATGGCCGCCATGGCCAGAACTGGGCCCATCCAAAGCCTAGAGTTTCTTCCGGGTCTCCCACATGGGTGGTGGGGAATCCCAAGCACATGGGCCGTCCTCAATGTTACTTTCCCCGGCAAATGTGCAGGCTGAATGGGAACTGGAGTAGCTGGGACTTGAATCGGCATCGCTACGGGATGCTGACGTGGCAGGCGGAGGCCTGACCTGTTATGCCACGGTGCCAGCACCTCTCTGAGTTCCTGATTGTCGAAGTGATGCTACGGTCGCCCTGGCAGGATTCACACCGATGCCAGAGTGGGTTGAGAGGCAAAATTAACGCTGGGATGGTCATTGAATATCCCGAATATGGAGAAAGGGATCCAGCGCCAGGGCGACCAGCAAGCACAAGGACATCTGCCAGTTGCTGGTGGAGACTGGACAGGCTAAGGATGACCAGTTGAAAGTTCATGGGTTTTAAAGTGCTTGTGGCTTATAGGATTTCCTTGTAATGACTAGACGTGCCCTCCTGTCCCCTGTCGCAAGTTTATAAAACCTCACACTTTGTGTAATGTAACCATTCGGGGTCCACTTTGAACTTGGACGAGTGTTACTCCTTCATGTAATAAAATGAAAAAAGCCAAAGGAAAAAAAAGAGCCTAGTGCAGTGGCCTAGCGGCTAAAGTCCTCGCCTTAAATGCGCCAGGATCCCATAGGGGCACCAGTTCTAATCCCGGCTGCTCCACTTCCCATCCAGCTCCCTGCCTGTGGCCTGGGAAAGCAGTGGAGGACGGCCCAAAGCCTTGGGACCCTGTACCCACATGGGAGACCCGCAAGAGGCTCCTGGCTCCTGGCTTCGGATCGGCTCAGCTCCAACTGTTGTGGTCACTTGGGGAGTGAACCACCAGATGGAAGATCTTGTCTGTCCTCTTTGTAAATCTGTTTTTCCAATGAAAATAAATCTAAAAAGGAAAAAAAAATCCCTTATGAAGCAGGACTTGAGGGCCGTGGAGGAGGTTCCTGGAGCCAGGGGGAAACGGGTGTGTGTGTGTGTGTGTGTGTGTGTGTGTGTGTGTGTGTGTGTGTGTGTGTGTGTGTGTGTGTGTGTGTGTGTGTGTGTGTGTGTGTGTGTGTGTGTGTGTGTGTGTGTGTGTGTGTGTGTGTGTGTGTGTGTGTGTGTGTGTGTGTGTGTGTGTGTGTGTGTGTGTGTTGAAGGCCTGGCCTGCAGGAGACCCGCCTACCACCCTGTCTCCTGCATTGCAAGGACAGAGCCTCGCCCCAGCTCAGCGGGCTGTTTCTTTTTCTTGGAAAGCCCAGTTACAGAGAGGAGAGCGGAAGCTTTCCCAGCCACGGGTTCCCAGCCAGGGCTGGGCCAGGCCGGTGGCGATGGTGGGGGGGGGGGCGCAGGGCAGCACTGGGGCTGGCTGCAAGGAAGTGGAGGACAGGGCTGGGGCTGGCCGCCAAGGAAGGGGGGGGTGGGCAGAGCTGGGACTGGCCGGTGGCGATGGGGGCGGGCAGGGCTGGGACTGGGCCAAGGGGGCAGGGCTGGGACTGGCCAACGCCAGGGGCAGGGATGGGCCAGCCACCCATCCAGGGTGAGATTCACAGGGATGCTGCTGCCCGCTCCCTCCCTCTCCTGCACCCACCCATGCTCCGGGCATGCGGCTGGGACCAGCTGCTGGGACCCAGGCAATGCCGATGGTGAAGGCTGAGTCGGGGATTGTCCCCCTGCCCTAGATAACCGAGGTCAGTACTGAGTGGACGCGCCAGGGACAGAGAAGGGATGCCCCACGGCAGCCAGCAGGTGAAGGAATGAACCCAGTGTGGTCCGTGCACACAATGACACAGTCAGGCATGAGGCGACGTCCGCACCACAGGGCTGCGGGGAGATCTGGGGGACCCCCTGCTCCAAGAGAAACACAGACAGCAAACTGCGCCTCCGCCATCAGGGAAACGCCTAGAACAGGCCAGGCCACGGGCAAGGAGGGGCTGGGGTGCAGAGAATTCTCTGGAACCAGGCGGTGGCTAACGAGTTATGCAAATCTAGGCAAATTTCAGCTCATCATTTTTTTTAAGCAAGCTTCAGATAAAGTGAGAAGAAAATTCTTTTTTTTTTTGTTGGAAAGGCAGATGTACAGAGAGGAGGAGAGACAGAGAGGAAGATCTTTTGTCCTATGATTCACTCCCCAAATGACCGCAATGGCTGGTGCTGCACCGATCTGAAGCCAGGAGCCTGGAACCTCCTTCAGGTCTCCCATGCGGGTGCAGGGTCCCAAGGCTTTGGGCCATCCTGGACTACTATCCCAGGCCACAAGCAGGGAGCTGGATGGGAAGCGGGGCTGCCAGGATTAGAACCAGCACCCCTATGGGATCCTGGCACATTTAAGGCGAAGACTTTAGCTGCTAGGCCATGGCGCCGGGTCCAGAAGAAAGTTCTAAAAGGAGAAGGCCAAATCGTGGACTCAGGGTCCCAGGGCTGGAACCAAAGACTGCCTCAGGTGTGGCTATGAATCCATACACACTGGGATTTCACAAGGGTGCCGGTTCTAATCCTGGTGGCCCCACTTCCCATCCAGCTCCCTGCCTGTGGCCTGGGAAAGCAGTGGAGGACGGCCCAAAGCCTTGAGACCCTGAACCAGCGTGGGAGACCCGGAAGAGGCTTTGGGCTCAGTTCCGGCCAAGGGGCCACTTGGGGAGTGAATCAGTCCTGCTTTTTGTATCTCTGACTTTTCAACAAAAATAAATAAATCTTAAAAAAAAAAAAAAAAGGATTTAAATCAGGAATGAGTTTCCATTCCATAAATGTGGGTTTTGATCCAAAGAACTTTTTTTTTCCGGTGGGCAGGAGCCACCCCACACACACACTCCTGTCAGTCACAGCAGCATTGGGACCGCAGGTCTTGCTGCAGAATCCTCTAGAAGGGTAACCGACAACCCGTGCAGTGTTCCGCCCCGGGACCCACAGCCACCCGGCCAGGCAGATGGGCACCCGTTTTGCCCAGCTGGAGACTGAGGCTGGACGAGGGGGGGCAGGCAGTGGACGGGACTGTCTCTGTCGCCCTGTGGTCCCCACATCCCACTGTCCCCTGATGCCTGGCTTGCTGGGGCAGGTTCACAAGCCCCAGCCCTCTGCAAACACCATCCTGGGTTCTCCTGGTGCTTAGGGACACTGAGTCCGCTGGGGAGTGCCCAGAGGGAGCCCTGGAGTGCTAGGCATCCTGCCCGGGCTGGGTACTGGTGTGTGTGTGGGGGGTGGGGCAGGTGGCTCCCGGAGCCCCGAGGGGACACAATGGCATCTGTCTGGCCCGGACAGAGTGGTCTTTGTGCCACAGCAGCCGGGTTTTCAGAATGAAGACGTGGGAGTCCATAGGGGAAGCCCTCTGGCCAGCGCCCGGTGGGAGCACAGAGCAGCCTCTGTCTGCAGGCGCTGGGTGGGAGATGGGGAAGCCGCCTGCAGCTGGAGGGGGGACCCCCGGGTAGCTGGCCTGAAGGCAGGCAGAGCGTGCCACTCCGGCCCCCCAGACAGGTGCAGGGCAACTCTCGGTTCCCGGAACTCTGGGTGCAGGCAGCCTGGGGAGGTGAGGCCATTGCTGTTAAGACCGGGCTAACCGGGAGTGAGCCAGGGGGTGGAAGATTTCTGTCTCAGCAGCTCTGCATTTCAGAGAAAATGTTCCAAATAGAGGTGGGAGTTGGCGGGAGGAGCTGTCAGGGTGATGATTCAAGCTGGGTCTGCAGGACCCGAGAGTTCTGGGGAGAAATCTCATTTACAAGAAACCACAGCTCTGGGCTGGCACGATGGCTCAACTGGCCAATCCTCCACCTGCAGCACCGGGATGCCCTATGGGCACCGGTTCGTGTCCTGGTGGTCCCACTTCCCATCCAGCTCCCTGCCTGTGGCCTGGGAAAGCAGTGGAGGACGGCCCAAAGCCTTGGGACCCTGCACCCGCGTGGGAGACCCGGAAGAGGCTCCTGGCTCCTGGCTTCGGATCGGCTCAGCTCTGGCTGTTGCAGCCGCTTGTGGGGTGAACCAGCCGATGGAAGATGTTGTTCTCTGTCTCTCCTCTGCCTACCGCCAGAGCTCAGCGCGACAGAGGACATGGAGTGCTGTGTTTGTGCGTGAGAGATGGTGGTTGGCTTCCTCCTATGCAAGCCAGTCCTCCCGTCTTGGGACGTGAATGTCGCCGGCACGGGGCCATCGTTCTAGAGGGCCTCCCTTCTAGGGGGTCTCTCTGTTCCAGGGTTGCCTGGAACAGCATCGAGGCTGCTGGAACAGCCTGTGCCAAAGTCTGGAGCTCAGAGTAAGCCGGTCAAGGAAGAAGACCAGGAAGGAAGCTGTGACAGCCAGAGGGACTTAGCAGCGATGCGAGATGAAGGGGGCCCACAGCGGGTGAGGGGGATGCTGGCAGAGTCTACCTTAAGAGAGAATAAAGCAGGACCCGGGCACGGTGTTTCTGGCTAAGACAGGCGGAGTGACTCAAGAATCCAGAGTGTGATGTCGGGGACAGGGAGGGCGAGGGGAGGAGGCCGACCTTCACTGATGTAGCAGATGGTTGCCCAGCCAAGTTCGGCCACACCACGAGGGCCGGGAACCAGACACGACCCTCAGGGAGGCTCCGTGGGAGAGTGGGAACCAGGCCTGGGCCCTGGCAACCCTGGGTGCCAACGGAACCCCCTCCTCACTGTTCAGGTCAGATATGAGGACGGAGGACCCAGATGAAGCCCTCGGGGAGGCTCCGTGGGAGAGTGGGAACCAGGCCTGGGCCCTGGCAACCCTGCGTGCCAACAGGACCCCCTCCTCACTGTTCAGGTCGGATGTGGAAGCCCAGGATCCAGACAAAACCCTTGGAGAGGCTCCGTGAGCCGGTGGGAGCCAGGCCTGAGCCCTTAGCAACCCTGCGTGCCAATGGAACCTCCTCTTCACCGTTCAGGTCGGATATGGGGGCCCAGAAGCCGGACAGGGCCCTTGGGGTGGCTCTGTGGGACAGTGGGAACCAGGCCTGGGCCCTGGCAGCCCTGGGTGCTGACGGGACCCCCTCCGCTCAGGCCAGGTCCCCACCCCCCGCCGTGGGAACGGGGGTCCTACCTGGGTGGCTCTTGGTCCCCCCAATCCTGCCTCATGTCCATTTTCTCCATGCGGAGCGTGGCTTCCGTGGTCCCCATGGGGGTCGTCGGGCAGCAGTGCCGAGGCGGAGCGGGGGTGGGCCTTGCAGGGCAGCGGCAGGCAGAGGAGCCGGTGTCAGTGGGCAGAGATGGTGGGATGGAGTCCCCTACCACACCCAAGTGCCCTCCCCACCCTGGCCACCTGCCGATTCACTGTGACCGCAGCTGAGGCTAGGTTAGTTTTACTTCCCTGTTCCAAGGCACTGACCCGGGATGCAAGAAGACCAGATAGCTCCTGGCAAGTCCCAGACCCCCCCCCCCCCGTGCCGTGTCCCCCCCCCCCATCCAAGCCTCTGGCTCCCCATAAGCCAACCGAAGAGGTGCTCCCCACAACACCCCCTCGTGCCTGCCACTGTAGGGCTGCAGGACCATCCTCACCTCGCCAGTGCTGTGTTGTGTAACCAGGGGCCTGAGGACCACGCCCCCTGTCCTGCGGGCTGACCCAGCTGTGCCCAGGGAGGCCCTCAGCTGTGTGGGATCCCCCAGGGTCTCCCCCAATGCCCTCACATGCCAGACTGGGAAACCCATCTACCTCCCAGCAGCCCACATCCTCATGGAACTGTACCCTCACAGGCCCATGCACCTGCTCCCAACACCCAAGTCGCCCCTCCAACAAATCGGGTGTGTCCCTGTAGCTCCCCTCACCCCGCTGCCCTCCCCCCCCCCCCCCCGCAGCCGGCAGGCTGGGGTCTGCCTTTGGGATGGGGGGCCTGAGTCCAGGAGACTCAGGTAGGAAACAGGGGTACAGACCGAGGGCGGAGCCTCTCCTGGCCTCAGGTAATAGCACGCGCTGGTTCACGCTCTCCCCCCCTTCCCATGTCGTCACCCGTCCACGGAGGAGGGACTGCGAGCAACCTCCCAGCTTCTGCTCAGCGCAGCAGCGACCGCCCTCCGCCCAGCCTTGTCCCCTGGGCATGAGGCGTGGAGGGGTCCCAGAGGAGGCGCCCGCCCCAAGGCCGTGCCCCTTTCTCTGGGAACCCACAGGAATGGGCACCCCCCCCCCAGCCCGGCCCACCCATCACGTCCAAGTTCAGGAGGGGAGCAATCTACACCTGTCTGGGCCCCCCTTCCTGCGCAGTCTTTGTGACATACGGATGTCCTCTAGTGCAGCAGTAAACGCGCGAGGGGTTCGGGGGGTGCGGGGGACCGCGGCCGGCCGCTGTCCAGGCCACCACCACCCCCCCACCCCCCCGTGGCCAAGGATGCGCGGACAGGGCTACTCACCTCCGGGGCGGCAGCGGCGGCCTCGGTCCTGGGCATGCAGAGCGCAGCCCCCCGCTCGCGGTCCCCTCGCCCCGGGCCTTCAGAACCACCTCCGGGAAGGTCGCCCGAGGCGCACGCGCGCGCGCGCGGAGGTGTCAAGGGAGGGGGGGGTCTCTCCTCCGGCGGCTCGGAAGCCTCCGAGGTCTCGGCTACCCGCTGCCGGATGCCGGATACCGGGGCTGGGTGCTGCCCGCAAGCGGCTGCGGGAGCGGCGGGGACGGGCAGGGGCGGGGATGGGCCCGGGTGATGCGCGCGCGCGCGCGCGCGGCACCTGCTCGCCGCCGTGGGTCTCCATTGGCTGCGCCCGGCGCGCGTGCCAGGGGCCGCCGCAGAGACGCGGTGCGGATGGCGCATCAGGGATTGAAGCGCACGCACACACACACACACACACACACACACACCATACGAGCAAGGGCCCGCTAGGGAAAACTGGTCGCTCCTTCGAGAACAAGGGGGCGCGGGCGTGAGGCTCGTTGGCCATCTGGGAGCAGCACCCCCCCCCCAGGTGCCGGAGGGTCCCCCTACATCCTGGGAAGGACCCGGGAGGGGTTGGTTGGACCCTGGGCGTGGCGCACGGCCATCTGGAGACGCGGGGTTGGGGTGGGAAGGAGAAGGGTCGAGCTGGCAGCAACTCCTGGTCAGACAGGAAGCGGGCTTCCGCCCTGGCTTGGCCATTCCCTAACTGCAGGGAGAGTGGGGGGTCTCTCCCTTGGGGGCCGCAGCTCCTTCGTCAGGGTGTTGTGGGATGGTTGAGAGCGCTGACCCGTGGCTCTCGCTTGTCGCTGCTTTTTCATCTTTTAACTACTGCTGTGACCAAATGGTGTCCGCCCTCTCCCCCCCCCACACACCGCACGCGCCCACTCCAGCTGTGTGCCAACCCCGAGGATTTGTGGGATCGTCTTCATTGGGAGAAGGCCTTTGCACATGGAATTAACCATCAACCTGATTAGGGTGGGCCCCGGGCAGGCATTCATCACAGCGATTAAAGACCGCTTGGCACACCATATCCGCTTCCAGCTCTGGCTCCACTTCGGATCCAGCTCCCTGCCCCTTGTGTGGCTGGGGAGGCAGCAGAGGGCGGCCCCAGGGCTTGGGACCCTGTCCACGTGGGAGACCCGAATGGGTGGTGAGGTGACCCCACCTGCCATGGGTGCCTTAGCCACGTGACTGGCTCAGCTGTCCCTGCCCCATCGGCTGGCGCTGAGCTGAACCGGAACCAGGAGCCAGAAGCCTCCTCCAAATTTCCCAAGTGGGTGCAGGGTCCCAAGGCTTTGGGCCGTCCCCGACTGCTTTCCCAGGCCACAAGCAGGGAGGTGGATGGGAAGTGGAGCTGCCGGGATTAGAACCGGCGCCCATATGGGATCCCGGCGCATTCAAGGCGAGGACTTTAGCCACTAGGCCACCGCACTGGGCCCAGATTCACTTATTCGAAACATAGAGATTGCCCGTTGTGGTCACTTGGGCAGTGAATCATTGGATGGAAGATCTTGCTCTCTCTGTCTCTTCTTCTCTGTATATCTGACTTTGCAATAAAAATAAATAAATCTTTTTTAAAAAAGCAAAAGAAAGACAGGGGGCAGGAGGGTGGGGTAGAGATACGTCCCTCCTCCCCCTAGCAGGGCTGGGAAACCAGTGAGCGAAGAGGGCCCGGGGAGGCGTCCTGGTGTGGGCAGGGTGGCAGGGAGTGGGGCGGGTGGCAGCCGCACGGGGACCAAGGGCAGGCAGGATGCCAGGAGGTCCCAGGTGGGCCCGGGAGCTGTCCATGGTGCTGAGGCCTGCCTAGGGCGGCTCCCGTTGTGTTTCAGTTTCTCTCCCTCTGTTTTTTAAGAATTTATTTCTTTGTCTTTTATTGGAAAGTCAGATTTACAGAGAGGAGGAGAGACAGACAAGCGATGTTTTAGCAGCTGCATTTATACGGGTGATGGCCAGATGTGATGGGGGGAGGCGGGTGCAGGCTTGTCCCACAACTCCTGTCACTAAAAAGGAAAAAAAAAAAAAATCAGGAAGGATGGTTACTCAGTCCAAAGAAACACGATGACATTCCTGCCCTGGGAAGGGGGCAGCTTCCACAGGGGCCAGGAGCCAGCCAGGGGTAGTTAGCACGCAGGGCTCACGCCTGGGTACAGCGGGGAGCTTGCTGCCAGGGCTTCCGATCATGCCTAGTGGCCACACGTGCTCACAAGGCTCAGATGGAACAGTGGCCTGAGCTAGGGCACCCGTGTGCTGTCCCACGGCACGCGGGGTTCTCCGTGTGGCGTCTGTCCCAGAGTGAACCAACTCCAGACCTGTTTCGCATTACACAGGTTGATGCGTTGCGTCACACACACACACACACACACACACACACACACACACACACACACACACTACAGCAGTGTGACCACTCCTCCAACCCTGCAGGCCAAAAGCCGGGTGCCGGGCGTGTGGGACAGCCCTTTGCATGGTGGTGGAGGGCCTGCCCGGTGAGCCAGGAGGGGCCTGGGCCTGGGAGAGTGTCCACTCCTGAGGGCGTGGGGCGGCTGCATAAGGAGGGGATGGAGGGGCGCTCTGGGCTTGGGGGAGCCAGGGGTCACAGGCAGGCAGAGGGGTTTGGCACAAGGATGAGTCAAGACTTGGGGGTGCCCATTGGGTATGGGGGTGTGTCCTGACTCCAGTGGGAAGATGGAAGGCTAGGGCTTAGGGAAAGGGGGGACCCTGCTGGGTCGGGAGATCGGAGGTTGGGTGTTAGCATGCTAGCATGGGCTGAGGTGTTCTTGGCAGTGGAGGAGCCTGGCAGAGGCATGGAGAGGCAGTGGGGGCCCAGAGTGGCTTGCTTGGCTCTGGCTGCTGCCGCCCCCGTGTGGCCAGCACCACACCAGGCGGGCTCCAGTGCCTTCCTGTGGAAATTGGCACCTCATTTTTGTCCATATCATGCCTTCCCGTAAGCTTCAGGGTGACCCCTGGTGCACAAATTTGAGGGGGAAAAAAACTAGTTTTATTGCAAAGTCAGATATACAGAGAGGAGGAGAGCTAGAGAGGAAGATCTTCCGCCCAATGATTCACTCCCCAAGTGACTGCAACGGCTGGAGCTGCGCCAATCCAAAGCCAGGAGCCCAGATCCTCTTCTGGGTCTCCCACGCGGGTGCAGGGTCCCAAGGCTTTGGGCTGTCCTCCACTGCTTTCCCAGGCCACAGGCAGGGAGCTGGATGGGAAGTGAAATTGCCGGGATTAGAACCGGCGCTCATATGGGATCCTGGTGCATTCAAGGCGAGGACTTTAGCTGCTAGGCCGCCACGCTGGGCCAGGATTTCAAAATGTTTTTCACCAAAAGAAACTCTTGTGTTTGAGTCTCCCATGAGCTTGATTTTCTAAAATATCTCTTTGAAAGGCAGAGTTATATAGAGAGACAGAGATCTTCCATCCACTGGTTCACTCCCCAGATGGGACCTAGACAGGACTGGGCCGAGCCACATCCAGGAGCTTCTTCGGGGGTCTGCCGTGTGAGCGCAGGAGTCCACACACTTGGACCATTACCTGCTGCTTTCCCAACTGCCCTAGCAGGGAGGTGGATGGGAAGTGGAGCAGCCAGGACTCGAACTGGCACCCTCCGTGCGCATTTAAGATGCCCTGCGTACGTTCAAAGCTCAAGCCTTGGGAATGCCAAGGTGTTGGAAGAAAGGCTTCCTCCTTGCCGGAATCCAGCTCCAGCTGAGTTCGAAACTCGAGAAGGGTGCGTGGATGAGGCAAAAAGAGGAAAG